TAATTATATCCAATGCAAATTCTCATTGGGAAAATGTCAAGTTGATGCAGGAGTTATCGTTTCTGAGCACTTCCTCCCCGTCTTTTTCTGTTCAGAAAATGTGCTCAATGATAAAAGAAGAAATACTGTTGCAAGAATGAACCTATGAGACTACAGTATTTGAATTAGACATTTTCTTTATAGGACTAAGCTTTGGCGTTGGAGATATAATTGGTTTACAGATGTGAGAGACACTTTATTTCTGTTGCAGCATCACAAATTTTGTTTCCTGTTGCAACGTGAGTAAAAACATGTTTTTTCAATGGAACAAATGTCCAAGGTGTGGTGGATGCTCCTACTACCACCACCATTAAGGGCCCCAATTATAATTCAGCTAGAGGTGGAAGCCTTGGAATACACCATTGCCCCAAAGACTGAAGGGGGAATGTTGATTTTGAAGCCAAGTTCAATTGAGCCCTAAGTTATTTTGTAATTTTAATAAATTATTTGTATTAAGTTAAATATGATTTTGCTTCTATTTTATTTTTATGTTTATTGTACTTCTATTATGTTCCTCCCTCATGTGGGAAGTTTAAGGCAGTCCAACCCTATTTAAACAGTCTTGGTTCTGTGTCTTGAGGTCAGTTTTGGTTTATGTTTGGTTGCTGTTCAGTTTACCTGAGTTGAGTTATAATCTTAGTTGTATTTCATGGAAGTATTACCGTTTGTTATCATTTTTTTATATGATTAGACTGAATTTTTCAAATTTTTGGAACATTTTTGTCCTTGATTCAGTCTGCTACCTCACACAAGTAATAACGTTTCTTCTCTCCAGTTTAGTCCAACAAAGGGTCTGATAAATAAATAAAAAAAGACAAGGGAGGGAAGAACGGACACTTGGTGAAATATTAAGTTAAATATTTTTGGGACACATGGGTCCTAGACTTTGTAAGAAGGAATGTGATTATGAATGTGAACAAGGAGAGTAATAATACCAAGAGACATTTAACTCTTTTAACTGCAAAATACCCAATTTTATGTTTGAAATCAGTGACCCTACGATGAACTGGCAGACCCTGCCTCTCACTCACTGGGATAGGCTCCAGTCCCCCCATGACCCCATTGGGGAATAAGCGGTTGAGAAAATGGATGGATGGATGTTTGTGAGGAGCATAAAAACATCTGTTGTTTGTCATAAAACTCAGACACACGGTTGATTTAATTTTTTTTTTTAAGAACAGAAATGGACGTTTTTTTTCCGGTTGTTTGCTCAGAGACGTGCAGCGTGTTTGTGTGTTTGCGTGGGTGTTGCTGCACACATGCAGGTGCGCGAGGAGAGCCGGAGGTTGTGGTGCAGAGGAAGGTTTCGCCTCGGTGGTTTCTCAGCACGGAGCAGGAGCTGCAGGCTGCTCTGTGACCACATCCTGAGCTCTGCTGCCGCTCTCTGCTCCTCTGCAGGTTTCACGCCCCACTTACTTTCCTCCTCCTCAACAACAGCCCAGACCTTCTTCTCTGAAAAGATGAAGGCGTTTGCCTCCTGTTATCGTCATAGGAAACACTTTTATTTCAGAAAAGAATTTCACAAGCTTAGTTGAGATTAGTTATTTTTAAAAAGTATTTCCACATTCATAGCATTTGCAAAGAATATTACTCATAAGTGAAAAGAACACAAACAGATCTGACAGGAAAACTGGTTAATGACTCATAAACTGCAGTGGCAGATCTGAGCTTTCATTATGTCATGAAAGGATTTTTTAAAAAGAAAAACGGTCAGATAAGCTTCTGAGTCTATCTCTGGAACAAGTGATGAACAGTGTAGGAGGATCAAAAGCCGAAAGGAAGTTCTCAGTATTTGATTGAAAAGATAAACTTTCAGGCATTTAAGATTAAATCACACAACAGAAGAAGAATATGCACATAGTTTGTTGATATTAGCAAACATTTGAATGCAAAGTCACAAGATATAAGAACAGGATGTTCTGCAGATTTTGTTTCCAGACTGAAAAATCCATCTCCTGCTGACTTCAGGTCCAGACCTCACTTCAGCCTTCACTTCCTCTGTTTTCTGCCTGAGTTCTGCAACACAAAGACGGACACACTGTCTTTTAATCACTGGACCTTTTACTTTTCACTCAGTCACATATATTATTGCAATAAGACGACTGACGTGACCTCCTGTAGAACCAACCTGAAACGTCCACACCAAAAAGCAGACAAAGGCTCCGTAGACGCAGCTCTTCACGATAAACACAACATAGGAGAGTTTGGCATTCTGTGTGATCTTCAGATAAACCTCTGCAGGGGGGGGGGTCAAAGAGGAAACCTTTAGTTTGTGGAGATCAGGGCGCTAAAGCTTACAGTTAGCATTTTCCATTTAGTCCACAAAGTAAAAAAAGTACCTCTCGATATGCCGCCTGAGTCATCTGATAAAAAATAAAAGCAAATTAGACATTAGACACTTTTCTTGTGGTGTAAAGTCTCAGATGTAATCCCTGTAAGTATCTTACCTGTTACACCATAGATTGAGTCAGTCACAGATATGTAATCTTTTCCATCGAAGAATTTGACAGTACAGCTGAACTGATTCTGGGGGTCAAACCAGACTTCTGCAGGGACCCTCAGCCTGCTGGTGATTTTGTAGAACTTTCCATCCCGCACGGCAGCGCTGTCCGTCGCCACGCCAACCTCCGGTTCAATCCCATTAATGTTCCAGACAACAGAGACGTGGTCCGGATAGAATTTAGTGGCCACACAGAGCAGGGTCTTCTTCCTCGTATTCTTGTCCTTTTGGTTTTTGCACTCTGCTTTTGAGGGTGGAAAAACTTTCACTTTTGGTGGGGTGACATCGTGGTCTTTTTCTGAAAAGAGAAGAGAAACAAAATTTGTGAAGAACTCGGTCGAATCAGTTTAATTTCGAATCAGCAAAAATGTTATTCTGCACATGTTCGCACTGTCTTTCAGTGAATCTTCTTTTGCGATCGTCTCACCCAGAACTGTTAGCTTGGTTCCTTCTCCAAATTCAGGAGGATAGCCGGCAGAACACACTGCTCACTCACATGGAAAAAAACCCGTCGACTACCTCATACTTTATTTTAACAACCAAACCTTTTCGGTACCATCAAAGAATCAACATAAATATTTAACAGACGTTTCTTTTTTCTCACACACTTGATTTTGAACATAAATAAAATTACATGACACATTTTTATTTAATCTTGAGATCGCTTTGAGTGCAAATTACAAAGTTCCTACTTTAAAGGTAGCTCTTTAATTAAATCAATGGATGAACATGTGGTGAACAGTGCACTGAAAGATTTCCATGTAAAAACAGACTTTACTCTTAAGCTTTAATATTTGTGATGGTTTTCATTTACTGCCTTCATGTGATCAGTCTTTTACCGACACTTATCCCTGAATAGTACATTATATTATTATTTACTCAACAGCAGTTTGGCAGATT